TCAGAAGAGAAGGATGAAAACAGCTGCACAGCTCAAAGAATGTAATGAATGACACTGCAGTGCGCATATCTAAACTGTTGAATTGGTGTATGTTTTGCTGTTCTCAGCACTACAACAAAATAACAACACAACATAACATGATCAAAAGAACTCTTATAGGCTAGAAAGTATTTCATTCACGCTTTATTGGGAAGCGCTCTGGTCCTCAGACAAACCTTCTTTCTGTGTTTGTTGGTTATCTAAGAGCACACAAATGGCTCTTCCAATGGGTTCTAGGTATTCCCCTTCGACTCTATTTTCAAAACTGTAGGATTTCATTTTTAAATTAATCCAACCACAAGAATGTTGAATATTTGCAACATTCACACAACTGTTGCATTGGCCAGCTACAGAAAGATCTAACGGATTTGCACTATGATGTTATCTATGCCATTATCACTGCAGGATGCTATAAGGCAAGGCTCTCTGAAACTCACGGTTGGATTCAGTCTTTTAAATTATTGAGAATGTTGTTCAAATTATGGTGTCTTTTCATACAGATCCATGAAAGGAATACCAATTACTTTGTGACTGGTATTCTTAACAGATAACTCTGTAACTTAGAGATAATTATGAATAAGTCATGCTTCCTTCTCTTCTTTACCAATAGAAATCTCAGTCACATGAAAGATTAGATGCAGAGGGGAAAAGCATTTTGATTACTAATTTCACACCAGCTATTGTTATACATCTTCCCCAACTATCCTAAAATAATGGCTAAAAAGTTCTACTTATCAAGTGTACTCTGGAATCATCGTTAGTTCCACTTTGTTGTGTATTTTTTTTAAGAGTGCATGTAAGAAACAAATGAAGAAAAGCAAAACAAAACAACATATACTATTCATACTGTCAGTTCCTGAGTTCACAAGAACTCTCAGGGTAAATTTAGAAAATATCTTCCCTTCCTTGGGTAGAAATACAGAGTTAGATTTTCCTTGTACATATTGTTGGTGAACTGCTTTCTCACATCTTTGCTTTTGAATACTTTCCCATAGAGAGAGAGGGAACGAGAACACCGTCTCTGGAACAAACAATCAGAACTCCATTCCAGCTCCATCCATATTTGCTAGTGATCTGACACAGAGGTAAGATGATTAAGTTCTACAAGACTCATTTAAACAAAGAGCAATGTGTTGATTTTAATGGGATTCTAAAGGAAATCGTCTGCAAATATTCCTTCTCAATAGAATTATGTCTCCTTCTGAAAAACATAAAAACCTTCTGGAAGCTGTTACATGCCAAGGGGAAAAACCCATGATATTGATGGCTATAGAATTATTCCTTATTAATGTTTGCCAACAAATCAATGAATAAAGCTCTTTCACAAATATATCCTATAAATAGTATGATCTGTAGCGTAAAGCCTAAGAAGTTAGGTATCATGTAGGTACTTAGAGTGAGAATACATTGTGACTTCAAATCAATACATTTTTGGAGTACTTCCTAAATATTCTAGAGTTTCTCAAGTTACTAGGAAAAAGTTCAGGGGTTATGACTTTTT